TTTAGTAAAATGTTACACTAAAAAAAAAAAATCTGCAAATGTTTAAAAAAAACGAGATATCTGACCAAGTTATTTTTAAAATGCATCTTTCCAATCAGCATATATTCCGATCTGTTAATTCTATTTTAAATATAACGAACTGTTGACAAAAATAACCACTTAATTTATTTACTTTTAGATAGATAGTATTAACTTAGAGATGAAATAAATTTCAATGTTCCTTTTTATTCTTTACACGCAGCCGTTGGAAGTTTTGAATTTTCGCTTGTTAGTATCTAAAAAAACCAAGTATTATTATATAGTGGCTGATATTATTAGATAAATTTAATAACTTTTGAAGAGTTGGACTACCATGTTTGTTTTAATTCCGGTCACTGATTTCTATATAATTGATTTCTGACTGTGAATGCTTAGATACCTTCCAACCAGAGTTCGAAATAAGCGGTCGTAATTTGCGTCCCGCAGTCAACTGATCGTAATAGCAAGGTTCCCAGTAGAATACCTAACTCAAGCGTCACTGGCTGAGGTCAGTAAGTGGTTGTGTGATCACATTGATGAGTCTGCGTAGGAACCGAGAATGAGCAGTATTGGTCCTCGTTAAACTGTTCTACCGAAAAGTGCTTGACTTCGCTCTCAGGTCTTCGGACTACCATAGTAGAAGATCCATCCCCTCTGCTGAGGATCAAAACTGTGATGGCATGTCTTCAGATCATCCTTAGTGATGCTTCCCAGACCGACGCCTATAGGCCATTGTGCTAGTGTGGCGTTAATAAAGTACCTAGTCGTAATTTGCACATAAAAATTTAAATTCGACGCCTAGAAAATTGCATCCAGTCGTCATTCTTGACACTTAACTTTTAAAATACTTCTGCTGTCCCGAATGACGTCACACTTTCGAATATGTCTCCAGACCGGTAGTTAAACATTCGAATTTCAGCTTTTTTGAGCGCGACGATTCAATTGCTATTTCATCACATTTGTAGATAGTTTTTTCTGAAGTTATTTATCAATTTTCGGCTCCTTTTTTACACGTTTTTTTTCTTTCAAATTCCGATATTTTCTACATGATGTTCTTACATATTTGCTACAAAAATACATTCTCAAAACTTTTCTTACAATAACAATAAGGGTACGTTTAATTTAACAGAATTGTTTTTGTTTTCACTTTAATTTTAACAAAACTAATGCACATTACTTTTTAGTATGCTTGCGTGATTTTTGTTTTCAAACTAGGCAATGGTATACAAAATAAAGTGAAGAATTAATAGTCCCGCATTCGAATAAATCGGTAATAAAATAAATAGCGACCATTTTTTTTTCCTTCTTACACTTATTATTGTCTCTCTGAAAATTTCATTTACCTGGTTTTTCTACCTCTTCAATTTATAGAGCTAGAACAATTTTTTATTTATTCATTATTGTTTGTTGTCCTTCAGGGTGGCTAAGCAAAAGGCGTTTTTCGTATTCCAACTGCATTTAACATCACGTGATGATATTGCTCGCGGCCAACTCGTGATCAGTGGCAGGAAACTATAAACCCGAAGTTATAAAAACAAATAGAATTCTTATGAGACCTTGATAAAGACTTAAGTGTATGGGCATTTCTTTATTTGACCATTAATTTACTCTTTAACTTTACTCCGTTAGTTTTGTTTTTTTAGTACATTCTTTTATTTCAATATGTATCTATTACCTAAATTAATTAAGAATCGTTTGCGTCGATAATAGTATGACGATTTTTTACGTTTTTCCTAAGCTGATTAGTACCACTTTTCCATAAATTTTTGCTTTGAGTACAAGACTAATTTTTCTTTTCATTTCAATTTTACCTTTGATTTTAAAGCATTTACTTTTATAGAAGCACATTTTAAAAATAATTACTATACACAAAACAAACACATGGCAACAGATAACTTAAGAAATATTGATTAGGTGACGTATTCTACGAATGCTACCACGTTAATGCTGCTCATTGAATTTATCTGGCATAACGAATAAAAATTTATTCAATAAAATATATTTTATATCCGTCGTTGAACAACCGACACAATTTTTTGGGTTCATGACTACTAATGTTCAACTCCGTAGCCTTGTAATTTTGAACCTAATCCGGAAGACAAGGGAGCTCCTGCACAAGTATTATGAGAAATTTTTCATAGAATTAACCTGCATTTGCGTTACATGGAGAGGAAAATCACCAAAATCTCTCACAATTAGCCTGACGCAAGGGGGCTTTAACCCATGATCCGTCTACCACTAAGGATATTTTATGTCAGCACTGTGGTCAGTGGAAGCCGGATGCAGAATTCGTTTCGACCTGCCATCCCTGGGATTCGAACCCGGTTCACCTTATTGGAAGGCGAGCTCTCTATCCTCGCTGTCATCCATTTTTTTTATATCCGTCGTTGAACAGCCGACCAAATTTTGGGTTTACGACTACTAGCTTTGTAATTTTGAACCAATCCAGAAGACAAGGAAACTCATGGATCAGTACCCTCAGAGGTATTGATTTGTTATGGGAACATGGGGGGCTTTGCGACTCGATAGATTTAACGCCACCATTTACTACACGTTGAGTCTTCGGCCGGCGGGGATCGAACATGGGCCCAGTGCCCTACCAACCAGGTTATCCTTCCTCGTTGTCATCCATTTTATTTTATTTTATAACCGTCGTTGAACAGCCGACCCAATTTAATGAGTTTATGACTACTAATGTTCAATTCCATAACCTTGTAATTTTGAACCCAATCCAGAAGACAAGGGAACTGTTGGATCAAGTATTGGGAAAAATTTTCCTTCGTGGAGGACTTTTTGATGGAACTAACCAGCATTTACTTAACATGGAGTGGAAATCCACGAAAACTTCTCACCGTTAGCCTGACGGCAAGGGGACTCTAACCCATGATCCGTCTACCATTGAGGATAATTTCACGTCATCACTGTGGTCGGTGCAAGCCGGATACGCAATTCGTATCAACTGGGATTCGAACCCGGTTGGCCTCATTGGAAGGCGAACGCTCTATACCCTGAGCCAGGGGTCCCCAACCCTATGCCCGCGGGTACCTTGGCGCCCACTGCTTGTGTCCAACAATAAAGTATTTCACTTTTCCATTTTCCCAATAAATGCTATGCAAATACATACTGAAGTACGCTGGCTCAGTAAAGGCAAAGTACTTGTTAGATTTCTACATTTAATTGGAGAAATAAAAAATAATTTTGAAGCCAAAAATCAAACATTTTTAGAACTAAGAGATCCTCTTTGGCTAGCAGATTTGTCTTTCATAACGGACATAATGGAAAAACTAAATAATTCAAACTTGGAGCTGCAGGGAAAGGACAAATATGAAGCAAAAATGATAGAGGCTATGAACTCGTTCAGATCTAAACTAGTTTTGTGGATATCACATTTGAAAATGAAGTCTCTCGTGCAGTTTCCAAACATGAAAAAAATGATAGGTGACAGTGAAATAGACTTATTATCAGCCTCCAATTGCCTAAAGATCAATTTAAAAAGCGCTTTCAACATTTTAATATCATCAAGACTTTGATAACTTTTTTGTTAATCCTTTTACCATCCAAATAAACGTAACCGTAATAGCAGCATACATTTCAGAATTTCTTAAAGTAAATCGAGAAGAATTGGTGATAGAAAATGTGGATCTTCTTATGTAGTGCTGGCCAGCGAAATGCCACGCCAAACACCGCACTGACTGTATTTTATAAGTAATTTTTATACTTCGTATGTTTTAAAAGCAATTTAGTAATAATTTAATTTACACAGGAATATTAATACTAATTATATTCATATGTTAAATTAATTATTAAAATTAATTTTTTGTGCACTTTATGTAGTGTGTATTATTACCTATGTCTACCAACTATAAATTTATCTTGAAAAAATAAATGGTGCCCGCCATTCGACCGATATTCTAGTATTTGCTCTTAGGTACAAAAAGGTTGGTTACCACTGCCCTGAGCCATAGCTGCTTCGCTGTCCTCCATTGATCAAAACATGAATTAAAATGCCGCAGTTTTTGTAATCTCTTATACTCGTAGTCTGAAATATAGCCAACGTACAACAACGGAAATTCTTGTGTTTGATTCTTAGTTTTGGCCATTACTCACCCTTACTTAAAATACACTTATGCCGTTGCTATAGTAACCGCCATCCGCTCAACACAGTGATGGTGGTTGTTCCGAGAGACAGGTAGTACTGACTTTTCCCCCTCTGCCCCGCACACCCAGTTGCGGTATTTCTGATTTGTAGTTATCTGTGTGTGTAATAATCAAACATTTTGAAAATCTGCGTGTTTTACTAATTCTGATATTTACAAATACACGGTTTTATTGCGTTTTTAGCAAGTATACGCTTTCTTAAAGATGCTTTTGATATTCGTTTTTTTCTCCATCATATCAAATTGTAAAAAAAAAAAAAAAAATTTCTTTACTTCTGTGTAAAATGAAATGGTGTGTTTATGCAATAACGTTTCTACCATTTTGAAAAACGTGAATAAACAAATAAACACCATTTGACTCATAATGAATATTTGTTTTTGTTCTTTTTGGTTAATGGCGGCCACTTGGGTCTATTTCCCACTGGCCTCAGAAATGCCAGAATTGCTACTCGCATATCGTTACCCAGTGAGCACCTATGGCTAAGCCACGGTGGTGGGGTAGCGTCGCCCACGTCAAACAACCACAAACCCGTTTGTAGGGCGGGTTACATTTACACAATCACACAGAAGAAAGAAAGAAACATCCTTGCCCTGATTGGGAATCGAACCCGCAACCATCGGCTCCTCAGTTAGGCACGCTAACCACTCGGCCACCTGGTCAGCCTCATAATGAATATAAATATTTCAATTTAGAAGGTGAATTACAACAAGAAGTATTATTGAAAAGTATTTCTACTTTATTTTTATTTGAAATTGAATTTAAATACATATAGTTTAATAAAAATCTTTTAAATATTAATGTTACAATAATTTACAATAAATCTTATCTAAATACAAAAATATTTCCTATTATAAATTTTTTAGTTTAATAAATGACACTTTGCATTATTTTCATATAATTCAATAAGCTGATAACTATACAAAAACCATAATAATTTTACAGGTAGATAAACTTATTCGGCCTCCTTCATCAATGCTTCATTTAAATGTGGTCCCTCAAGGTTCTGATCATTATGCCATAGAGAATTACTTTAGAACAGACAAATAACGTGAATATTTTTGAAAAAAAAAATGAAACGTTTCTCAAGCGTGTAGTGGCGTGACTCTAGAAACATAAACCGGTTGAGGGAGGATATTCTCCTCCCCTCTCTTCTCACAATAAGTATAGTTTGTCTATGTAAAGAACTCCCCAAGCCATTCGTCTGGAGCAGAGGCGGTGACTATGGTTACGAGGTTTAAATATTTCAAGTAAGGGTGTTGCGCCATTATTTAAGACAGGCGTCGTCGTCTCGGGTCGGTGTGAAAAAGTGAATCAAGGGAAAAAGAAGCACCATTTCTTATTTCCATAGAAGCAGACGACTTTAGACTTCGTAGCAAGGGGAGTTCCTTCTATAGGCAAACTATATATCAGCAGCGGATGTCGTAATTCAGTATTGCAAATCGCAAAACAGAAAGTAATGTACTAAATACAAAAATCATTAAAAAAATACTTTTTTTCCCGTTCGAGATTTTACAAACATTCGACATGAGAACAGTTTAACGAATGTTTTTTTAAGATTTATTAAATTTTAAGTTGATTATCTTTATTAATTTTTTTTTGTTGCGAAAATGCAAAAGTTTTATAGTAAAAAGAAGGTAAGCAGTGATTTTTTTTTTTTTACTGGAACAGAAAAATGAACGCTTTCATTTGTAAAATGTTGATAGTTTCCTTTTTGAGCAACTTGGAAATGCATTTTCATTTTTTAGTCACTGAAATAAAGGTTTTCTCAAAATTCCTATTCATGGTTTCGAACGAACTTTTTGCGTCATCTTTATATGAACAAACAAGGTGGATGGTTCCAATCTCTGTCCTCTTGTGTCTTCTAAATGTACGTGTCTGTAACCTGTAATTAAAATTGATTCATCAACAGGAGCCAGGACTTAATTTCAAGAGGAAAAAAAAAATACATATATTACCCATTGGCAAAATGGGTGTTGTTTTGAATTTGATGGTGTGCGCACCTTATTTGGACGTCATCGCACTTTTCAACTGTGTTCAAGAGTAATAGTAAACAGGGCGCATGCGCCGTCATTGCATGCGTTGCTATGGCTACCGCTGCTGTTTGATAATTTTCTTAGAATTCTTTTCTTCACTTTTAATTTTGTTATGCATTAAGTTGATGAGTTTATTTTTGAGATATGGGACCAGAGAGATCCCATAAATACTTCTTGAGTTGTGAATAAAAGAGAATTTCATCATTTCAACGATATTTTTGTTTTCATTGTTTTAATTACGAATCTGAAACTCAAACCTTCAGTTCAAACTGGATCGTTTTCGATGCTAATTCAAGTAAATATCACAAATAAAGAGAGTGAAAAAAAAATTTGACAACAACCGTTTTGCCGATGGGTAACCAGTGATCTACTTTCAGCGATTGCAATTTTTAAAAATTGTTTTTTTTTTTTTCATTTTAAATGTTGCGCATATTCTGAAATTCAGGCATAATCAACATATTTTTTCCTCAATATATAAATTGCTATTTAAGCTAAATAATCACCCTGATGGATTTTATGCAATGAAACACAGTAACAGTTATCCAAATACGCAGCAATGAGATAAATAAACTATAATTAACTCTGAAAAACAGATATAAATTAGGCAAAATAGACTTAACATGTAAAAGTTCGCAGATATTGTTTTTTAAAGTATATAAAATTTTGTATATAAAGTCAATATCTTTTAGAACATGTAAAACTTCACTAATAAAAAAGAAGTATTATTATGAGTGAGAATAGCCCTATTTACAGTTTCACGTACAAATTTCAAATGCAACCGATACTGGTCATACCGTAGACTAATTATGGGTCATACATTAGCATCTTCTACTTGGTGAACCAGATTACCCTAATTGTAATGAGCAAACATCTAAGACAGCGTAACAATGACGATAATAACTGGATTTCAATTTAAAATATCTACCCAAGGAATGGTGCCAAAAACACTAACTGCTGTTTACAGGGCCGTAACTACGNTGGTCAACCCATGGACTAATTATGGGTCATACGTTAACATCTTCTAGTTGGTGAACCAGATTACCCTTATTGTAATGAACAAACATCTAAGACAGCGTAACAATGACGATAATAACTGGATTTCAATTTAAAATATCTACTCACGGAAAATGGTGCCAAAAACACTAACTGCTGTTTCCTCAAATGTGTCAGAATATTTTGAAAGGTTATGATCTTGAAATTTATGCTGATTTCAAAATTTAAGAGATCTCATATATAGTTACCTTCCACCATGGATGTGCAGGGCAGAGCAAACTGTCCAATGAGGCTGTTGCCTGTCAGGTTTTCATCCTTCACTCGAAAATGGAATATCGCTTCTTCTGGTGCGTTGATGACAAATGTTAAATTTTGATTCCACGTCGGATTGAATCCTAGAAAGAAAAAACTTCCGTTCATCATCTTAATTGAATTCCGATCACTACAGCGATTCTATTTTATTATTAGCGGCTTTCACAGCGAATAGAATGTTTAAATAAGCGTTAATTAGGATAATTCTGTTCGTGATCATTCATCATTTTAATTGAATTCCGATCACTATAGCGATTCGATTATATTATTAGCGGCTTTCACAGCGAATTGAATGTTAAAATAAGTATTAATTAGGGTAATTCTCTTAGTGACCATTCATTGAATATCCGATAATTAAAGTTCGTTATCACGATAACTATTCAATTATATTATTATCGGCTTTTACAATGAATAGGATGTTAAAATAAGCTTTAATTAGGGTAATTCCGTTCGTGATAATTCATAATCTCAATTGAATTCCGATCAGTTATACCGATAGCGATTCAATTATATTATTATTGGCTTTCACAGCGAATTGGATGTTAAAATAAGTGTTAATTAGGGTGATTGTGTTTGTGACCATTCATCATCTTAATTGAATTCCGAATAGTTATCACGATAGCTATTCAATTATATTATTATTATCGACTTTTACAGAATAAACGTTAATTAAATAAGCAATAAATAGGGTGCTCCCGTTTGTAGATTCGAACTAAACGAAGTATACTTTTTTAAAAAGAGAAAAATTAAAACATTAGAAGTGGGCAATTCTTGTGCTTATTAAAAAAACTTATTATGTATGGGATTTTGTTTAGGAATATAATTTTTTATCTTACGAAATTATATTTTTTCTGGTTTCCAAAAAGAGCACAAGAATTTTGCAACGATTTAACACGCCCATAAAAAGATTCTAAATTTAATTCTGCAATGAGGATTTTTCTTTGCTGTCTTATCGTTATATACTTGCATGATTCAAGAAACTCACCATTGTTGCTGATGAACTTAGTTTTGGTCTTTTGCAAATCCAGGGGATGTCCAACAACTTTTATGGAGACATATGGATCCACTACTTCACCGTCAGATGCTTGATTTGGTTTTGGCAAAAATTGTGCACTTATGACCTACGAAGAAAGAAAGATATGTAAGTCTGGCAATGACAGTGGGGTTTGAACTCGTGATTGACGCCTCTTACTTTTATCGTCACGTGTAGCTGTTGCTTTGGATTAGGGCTTTTGCTAGGATCGTACTGACCTGTGGAAGAAAAAAATTCTTAGTCTATTGAAATGTATTTCATACGAATATGACAAATATATTCTTAATAGCAACTTGTGCTGATATTTTTTTTCTTTAAATCGTAAATTTTAATATTTTTATAACATTTTATATTGCATGGTTTCCTTTTCTAGATTTTTTTGAAAAAAAAAATCTTTTTAAATAGAACAAAAAGAATTTTTTTAAAAATTATTTTTCACAGTTGATTTTAGGTAAAGCTACTAATTTACAAAATTAAAGGGTTATTCAAATGAAACGTGGTCACTTGTGATAATGTGGTCACTTGTAACAGCGCGGTCACTAGTAATACGGTGGATATAGCAGCATTATAATGCTGATAATAAGAATTGAAAAGGGGGAATGCACATAGTAGCTAAGATCAGAGCTTCAAAACTGTTTCTATGTGAACATTGCCTCTATCATTTTTTATTTATTTTATAACCGTAGAACAGACGACCCAATGTTTTTGGATTTACGACTACTAATGTTCAACTTCGTTGCTTTGCAATTATGAACCCAATCTAGACGGCAAGGAAACTCCTGGACTAAGTATTGGGAGACAGGTGCCTTCATAAAGGACTTTTTGATGAAACTAACCCGTATTTGCGAGGAGAGGAAAACAACGAGAACCTCCCACTGTTAGCCTGACGAAAAGGGGACTCTAACCCAAGATCCGTCAACCACTGAGGATATCTTATGTCAGCACTGTGGTTGGTGCGAGCCCAGTGCGGAGTTCGTATCGACCAGCCATCGCTGGGATCCGAAACCGGTTCACCTCATTGGAAGGCAAGCACTCTATCCCCTGAGCCACCACGGTTCCGGCTCCATCCGGGGAGGAGCTCCTCAACTGTTTCGGCTCGATGTTTATATTTTCCTCATAAGTTGGGTGAAGCAAGGCAAGAGATTCACCCGATTCTATTACGTAACGAAGTTTGCTTCGTCTATTTATGAGAAAACGGAAATCTCTTCGCTCATTTCAATATCGGTTTTTGTTTACATTCAGAACAAAGAAATAGCTTTTACGAGGAAAATATTTACGTTTTGGCTTTCAGTTCGATCAACAGTTAACTTAGTTACGTCATAAAATGAAAGTTGTCCATTATCGGTTCATTTGCTACCCGGTGAATCAGTTAGGCTAACCTTTCTATGTATTTGTCTTGTTTTTATTCTTCTGTATTTGTTTTATGTATTTTATCTTGTATATTATGTATTATATTCTTTTCCTGGACTTAGGCAAAATCTTTGGGGTAGACTTTTATCTTGCTCTGTCGATAGAAAAGGTTTTGCTTTTATGACTTCCGGAGCTGGTACCCCCTGAAGACGTCAGCTTCGGTCGTCATATTTATCCATTTTTTTTCATATTTTTATTGTCTCCTTTGTCTCATTTCCTTTCGGATTCACTGCTGCTTAGCGCGTTTTTCCATTGGAAGTATTATTATTCTTAATCGCTTTTAAATTTTTGAATTCTTTACTTAATTAGGCTAACCCTGTCATACAAAAAATCACTGAAGTATACATAAATGCATGTTATAACAAACCATTTTCAATGAGGTATTTTGGTTTCAGGACATATCCGCATCTTCCATTTTGAGCAAATTTCGCTTCGTTTATGTACATTGGCTGATCCCATGTCTGGTAGTTGAGTGCAACTAGAATGAAAAATGTTTTGCTTAACTCAAATGAAACGATAATAAAACGTAATGAGCATAAAAAAAAATTGTTCCTTTTCGCTATCCAGAATATTTGTAACTTTAAAAATAATATTTCCAATGAGTTAAAGATTTTGCTATGGATAGTTGACCATGTAAAGTTAAGCTGCCCTGACTCTAGGTGTTGAAATTCGTCGTAATTCGTCCCTCATTAGCGTTACATGAAGATGAAAACCATAAAAAAAAACACCCACAGTTATCATGACGGCAAAGAGGCTATAACCCACGATCCGTCTACCACTGAGGATATTTTATGTCAGCACTGTGGTCAGTGTAAGCCGGAAGCGGAATTCGTATCAATCAGCCATTGCTTGGATTCGTACCCGGTTCAGATCATTGGAAGGTGAATGCTCTATCCCCTGAGTCATCACAGCCCGCTTATGGATGATTGACCGAGTAAAGCTAAGCGGCGCTGGACCCCCAGCACCGCTCAGCTTTAAAGCTTTAGCTTAGCCTAGCTTAACTTTAGCTTAGAGGTTAAAATTCGTCGTAAGACTTCCGGATTACAACTTTCGACTTATTTTTACGCCTAAGCTTGAAAATATAAACGCACCATCCAATATAATTATACTCGTAGTCTTTACAATATAACACGTTCTTTTAATCTAACTTTCAACAAAACAAACAACTAATGAATTTGGCAGGCTCCGTAAGCTTGCTATGATGCAACCAAAAAAATAACAAACGGTGCTATTTTACACTAATATAGCCAACTAAGAGATAACTTTCAAATCATGGCTAACCTTACACTCTATTTATGCTGTGATATTAATTTTGATATGCTTGTTTTAGGGTCACGACCTGTTAGAATTTATAAATTACAAAATTCTCTTATGAATGATAAAACTACGCTTAAAATTAAACACAAATCACGAAAATAAAACTTCCTAGAATATTAAGCCTGTTCACATATCGTCTCGTACGCGTAACATGAGCGGAGGGATACACCGGTAGTGTTCTATGGGTTGTCTACGGCAAGAACTCTCCTCGCCACAAAGTCTGAGGCCGTCTGCTGCTATGGAAGCAAGAATAGCTCATTTCAGGAAGGGTAGCTTCTCTTCAATCTAGGCCTAACACAATAGACCAACAAAAAAAAAAGATTCCCATTCTCTCGCCGACCCGAACCATAACCAGTCCTAAACAATGACCCTACTTGAAATAGTTATACCTTGTTACCATAGCCACAGCCACGCGTCCAGACGAATGGCTAGGGGAGTTCTTACTTTAGACAAACTATAAATTTCTTCCGATTTTAGGAAGCTTGTTATTGTTTACATTCAGTCAACCATCTATTAAGATTATGTTTTTCAATGCTTAAATTATTATTTAAGATTCTTTTAACTGTATAGTTGACAAGGTGCGTAGCCAAATCTTTCAACAAAAAATAAGCACCTTTTAAGTACTTTTCAAGCACTCAAAAATATTTTTAAGCACTATATGCATTAACAAAATACAAAGTAATCTTCAAAGTCTTTACATGATCGTGATAATATAACTAGTCTCTCACAAAGATCTCTTTTCTTAATTATATTAGCCATTATAAAATGATCAAGAGATTTTTTGGTTCAATATCAGAGGGTGGAAAATGAAGCCTGAAATTGAGAATATCTTGCAAAATGTAGCAGAGTTGCACATAAGAGTACACTAATTTCACCAAATCAAGTTCAGTAGATGCACATGCGGACTCTCAAGAATTTCATCAAACATGTAAAATATTTTTATTTTATTTTATAACCGTCGTTGAACAGCCGACCCAATTTCATGGGTTTACGACTACTTACGTTCAACTCCGTAGCCTTGTAATTTTGAACCAATCCAGAAGACAAGGAAACTCCTGGATCAGTACCCCCAGAGGTATTGATTTGTTGTGGGAACATGGAGGACTTTGAGACTCGACAGATTTAACGTGCATCAGTCACCATTTACTACACGGGGAGTCTTCGGTCGGCGAGGATCGAACTCACGATCTCTTGGATATGGGCCCAGCGCCCTACCGACCAGGCTATCCCGGCTAACCTATATGCTAACGATACACCAAAATTGTGGTTGAATGAATTGTGAAAACGTTGAATAGAACAATGTGAAAAGCAGGCTTTTACATAATACATGGCGAAAATCGACATTCCCTTTTCGAAAATCTCATTTTGGAAAAAGGAAAATTAAGCACTTTTTAAAAACACCCAATGAAAAAAGCATCTTTAAGGGCTTTTAAAAAACGATAATCAAAAATAAGCACCTTTAAGCACTTTTTAAAAACGCTGCGCACCATGATTGATTGCAGTAGAGTTGATTTGTTAATCATTGAAATTCCCCAGTTTTTGAAAACTTTTGAAATGACTTCTGTGATAACAAGTCCTCGAAGCTTCTGAAACCATTTTATTTCTGTAAGACGTCGAAATGTAGAGGAAAGTGAGGTAAGACCGGTTCTTCCGATCCCTCTACTCTTCTGCTTAGATGTATGGGAATGCATTATGATGCTTCCTCCTTCCAAAATATTTTTGGCAATTAGATGATCTAAACTATATTTTAAAATTTCCAGTATGCTTATTATTAAGCACTATGTTTAGTGCAGTTTTGAATTCCATATAGTTTCCAAGTTTAAAAATTTTTAATCGAGTTGAAAATCAAGACAAAAACGTTCTTCTTAAATCAATAATCCTAAGACACTGAAGCAAAGTAGTAGGATATTATTTGCTAAAAAAAACTTCATTTGCTTCAAAAGTATACAAATTAGAAACAACAGATGACATGTTTATAGAGCTCAAAAAAAAAGTTCTAAAACCCAGTATTAAGACTTGCCAGAAGTGAATGAGAAAACAATTTCTTCTCCTTGAATAAGAAGAAATTTTTTCTCATTCATGTCTGGCAAGTCCTGAAAATGGGAGCCTGTTTCTGAGCCCTTGAAACATGTCGACAATTCTTTCCAGTTTGAATATTTTTAAAACGAATGAAGTTTTTAATCAACAACGTAATTCTTATTCCTATAATTTTATTTTATTTTATAACCGTCATTGAACAGCCGACTCAATTGTTTTGGGTTTACGACAACTAATATTCAACTCCGTAGCCTTGTAATTTTGAACCCAATCCAGAAAGTAACGGTGGTTCCAGGATCAAGTATTGGGAGAAAAAAAGGAGGACTTTTTGATGGAACTAACCCGCATTTACGTCACATGGCGAGGGAAACCACGAAAACCTTCTACGGTTAGTCTAATGGCAGAGATACTGTAATCCATGATCCGTCTACCATTGAGGATACTTCACGTCAGCAATGCGGTCGGTGTGAGCCGGGTGCGGAATTCGTACCGACCAGCCATCGCCGGGATTCGAACCCGGTTCACGTCATTGGGAGACGGATGCTCTATAACCTGAGCCACTACGGCTCTATTCCTATTATTATCTAGATTTATTTATTTATTTTTATAACCGTCGTTGAACAGCCGACCCAATTTTTGGGTTTACGACAACAATTTTCAAATGTTACAAAAGCCGTTACAAATTTTTGTACAATATTTTATTTCACTCACTCAGAATCTGTTCCCAAAACTTAATGCACAAATGATTGTTAATTAAGCAGCTTATTTTTTAATAAATTTTATAGGTATATTTTTATTATGTTTTGATTTACTTATTTTTATAACCGTCGTTGAACAGACGATCCAATTTAGGTTTATAACTACTAATGTTCAAATCCGTAGCCTTGTAATTTTGAACCCAATCCAGAAGACAAGGGAAATCCTGGATCAAGTTTCAGGAGAAATTTGCCTTCGTGGAGAACTTTTTGATTTAAACTAACCCCTCATTTGCGTTATAAGGAGAGGAAAACAGCGAAAACCACCCACGCTAAGGGGATTGACTCCGGAAGGCTAATAGACTTTAACCCATGATCCGTCTAAGACTGAGGATATTTCACGTCAGCAATGTGGTCGGTGTGAGCCGGATGCGGAATTCGTACCAACCAGCCATCGCCGGGATTCGAACCCGGTTCACCTCATTGGGAGACGAACGCTCTATAGCCACCACGGCTATATACGAATAATAGGAGGATATTATTAGGATATATAGCCACCACGACTATATATAATAATAGGAATAGAGCCACCACGGCTCTATTCCTATTATTATCCTCTCGCTAATAGTAAAAGTGCCTGTTGCCATGGGCAAAATGATAGTTTACTCCTCCTTTAGTTTTTCTGCAACCACTCATAAAAATTCTCATTTAAAATTCTACAATCATAATTTTTTGTGTAGATATTTTACATCATATAAACACAATTTGTTCTTTTTTGGGAATTTATTTGAATATTTTATATGTATATATATAAAAAAAATCGAATATATATTAAAGGTGTATTTACCTAGCTGACATCCCAAATTCCAGAAAGGAATTGGATCGTAATTTCCCGAATCTGTCCTCGTTCCTTTGGGATAGATTCGTGAAATATTCTTCTTGTTGTAATTCACAAATTGTTGTCCTTCATAATATCCAAGGTTGAGTGCCACGGTTTCTTGGAAGGAAGCCATCTCATTGAACCTCCCTATCAAGTGGAACATTTAATGATGTTAGTTCATGGACAAACTAATATGGAAGAATGGGTTGAGACAATTTATTCTTCACACAATAATTAAGTTTCAAAAAATATATTTTAATTCGTATTATTTATCCTGATGAGCTGTATTAGACAGCATAAAATTTATGCAGCAAAAATTATTCTTCTGTAATTAACATCCTTTATTATGCTTACTCTTTTTACAGTGTGCAAAATGCAACACCCTTTATGACTTTTGGCTCAAAGATCGATTTTTCACGTACCAATAATCAATCTTAAGGCCATAAATATACTAATCAATTAGTGAAAGTGAAACCAGAACCAAAACACGTTTTTTTAACACTAGGTTGCCTAAGGGAAGTCATTTTGACTGCTTTTTAACTGCTTTTTCATTTGCAAAAAATGTACAAATAATAATGCATAAATTAATATTTTATTTCCAAGTGAAGTAAATTTTTTTATTGTTAATGTTTACTAATAACTTGTTATATAACTGTGAATAATGTAAGAAAATATTAAAAATTAATTAAACAAATTTCCTTACACATTAGTTATTCTTTCACAATGCAGACATTTTGACTGATTTGGGGAAATATAGGTATATATTAAGTTTCAGTCTTTCTAGTGTTAAACATATCTTCCAACTGATCATCAAAATTAAGAGGTCAAAAGTTTGGCCCCTAAATTTTAATTTTACTTTTTGCGTATTTCTCAAGAACTTTTTAAGCGAATTGAAAATTTTTTGCATGCAATTATAAAATTCGTTTACCAAAAGATAATTCCATGCAAAAAAATAATTCTTAATAACTATTTATTATCATTTTAGTTGTCTGAAAATGTTTTAGATTGTAAGGTGTACAAATCTTTATATCTTTTTAAAGGTTCCATTTTTATCTGGCAATTTAAATTAATTAAGAATTTCTTCAAGATCGAGAAATCGAATTATAAATACAAGACTTGTATACAATTTTATAAGAAGAGTTTTAATAAAGCGCCCCAGGTGCAAAGATCCCATTTGCAAAATGACATGTCACGCGTGACATGTCCCCACAACAGTAATATGTGTACCAAGCAATACATGGGCACAAGGCCTCGAGTCGCACATGCGAGAAGAGCACCACAAATCCCGCATACTTTATATTTTATTTTATACCCTTCGTTGAACAGCCGAACCAATTTTGGGTTTACGACTACTAATGTTCAACTCCGTAGCCTTGTAATTTTGAACACAATCCAGAAGACAAAGAAACTCTTGGATCAGTACCCCCAGAGGTATTGATTTGTTATAGGAACATGGAGGACTGCGACTTGACAGATTTAACGTGCATTCGTCACCGGGCGGCCTGGGATCGAACCCACGCCATCTTGGACATGGGCCCAGTGCCATACCAACCAGGCTATCCCAGCCTAAATCCCGCATATGAGCAGAAGAGGCTAGCCAACACCAGGGCCCAAGGCCTTCAAGGTGGCGTTGCTGATTTGACAGCCGACGAAGGAAGGCTTGATGCCGGCCTTCGTCACTCTGCGGTCCCAATACTGAAAGATTTACGAACCATACCTTTCATTTAAAAATACAAATCAGAACAAATGAGCAAAACTACAGTTGAAGGAAAAATTATCTATTCATTATCAATATGATCCCATATGATCACATTGGGTGATTGTATGGGTGTAGCTATATGATTGGATTGCTGTATGACTCTACTGGATTCCATTGGATTGCTGTATGACTCTATTGGATTCCATTGGATTGCTCTATGACTCTAATGGATTCCATTGGATTGCTGTAAGACTCTATTGGATTCCATTGGATTGCTGTATGACTCTAACCACCAAGTGGACGTGCATTGTCGACTTTTTATAGAGAAGGACGCATTGAATTATGCCTTCTCTGTCACCCTTCCCTTTGTCAAGGTATTCCTTCGTTATAAGCTCATCAAAGTCGAATTTCGATAATTTTCAAAAACGAAGTCTTAGCTTTTCTCTATAAATTCTACTTTAACTAAGCTTTATCTTTAAACGTGGGGGCGGGACTTTACCATACCTTGGTTTATGATCCAAGCCTAAGCACCGATTTTTCTCTTTTATGACCCTTTTCTGTGCTTTCAGAGGTCTATTCATGATTAAATTTTACTGAGACAAAAATGAATAATTTAGCTCACCGAAAGGACTTCTGCCCACAGTCTGCCTGTTCGAACTGTCCGCAACATTGAGCACTTTAGGTAGAATAGTTTATAGAGGACCGATACCGCCCACCCTCAGTCCCTACGCAAGCTGATCAAAGTGGTCTCTCACCCGCTTACTGGCCGCGGCCAGTGATGCTTGACTTCAGTGCTCTATTGGGAACCGTGTGCCTTTAAGATTGTAGTGTATCTACCACTACAAAAATATAATTCCAATTCACTAGTATATAAGTCATGTTAACGCGATTCTATGGTGGGGTACTTTGTCATAGATGAAGGTTGACATGGTCTATAGCTTCTCTTCCCACATTGGTGACCTTCGAACGTGATGTGAACACTCCTACCTTGACAGAAACTCCCACTACTATTTGAACACGCCTACTTCGATGGATTGCCTACATTGAACAGTTGACTTGCTACTTGTGACTGCGAGATTATCCTCCTCACGCTGTTGCTTCTCAACCTCGATCGCACGCAACGTGCAATGCAACGTATACACTCGATTGCTAATGGCAACACAGGAATGATCACGACCCTGAACTTAATACAGCTCTCACGGTCAGCACTCAAAAAGTACGATGCTCTTAATGCATCTCTCCCGGTTTCTCACAAAACAGAAATGAACCAACTAGTGGTATCCGTACATCAAATTCTATCACAGATATAATTCTAGTGGGGGAGTGCTGTAGTGTATCTACCACTACAAAATTACAATTCATTAGTATATAAGACAAGTTAACTAGATTCCATGGTGGGGTACCTTTTCATAGATGAAGGTTGACATTGTCGATAACAACTCTCGCCACAAAGATCAATAAACGGCGGGACGGTTCTTGGATACAAAAGGAGATGCTGGGTATATGTAAATGATGCGTTTATTGGGTGGGGGTATTTTCGACTGAAGCACGCTTAACTCATGCCACAGAACTACATCACCCATGCACGGGATTAAAGGGGGCGGGGAATCTTATTTCCAATGTGAGAAATGAACAGGTGGACTCATCAATGTGCAACATAATACACTACGTTCAGGCTCATTACGCAAGTCAAAATTCTTCATGGTCCCGCAACACATTTTGATGGTTTACGTTGGTTTCAGCACGATTCTTGATGGTCCCACATCATTTGATGGTTACCATCATCCAACATTTTCGGTTGTGCGTTTATGGTTTTTGATATGCCCACAAACTTCCATTATTCCATGATGGAAAATGATACTTTAGTACTATGATGGTTAGCCATCAAGAGAGGCTTGGTTCTCATGGACCAACCATCCATTGATGGTTTAATGGGAATTCTTGTTGGATCTCAGGAATATACTACCAAAACAATTTCTTTTATGTTGGAAAATCATAAATCAGTCCAAATTCCTACATTGGAGGGATGGTTGTTCATGATCGTTCCAACATTTGATTTCTAAGAAATAATGATGGAGATTTCTGATGGTTCTCCATGAACAAACCATCAAAACAAGTTGATATTCTTACGTTGGACCATCATGAATTATTCCGAATTCCTACATTGGTGTGATGGTTTCTTATGCTGGTTACCATCAAAAACATAATGGTTCATGATGGAATTATTGATGGTTACTATCAAGATTATGTTCTTCCATCAATGGAAGGTATCTTCCATCAAAAATTTTGACTTGGGTAAATAAATAAAAAAAAACACTTTGCTTTTCTAGTAAGATTCAAATGAAAGAGACAAAACTAATACAGGATGGTGTTAAAAAAAATTACTCACAGGTTTCGTCACATTCTGCGAAAGAAGTGAACCTCCGAGCGGAGAAATAATTCACCAAATCAGAAAGTTCCGGTGAAATACCTTTTGCATGACTCTAAAAACATTTCAATGGTTATTAAAACAAATTATTATGAGTAAAAATTTTTGTACAATATTTTATTTCACCCACTCAGAATCTGTTCCCAAAACTTAATGTACAAATGATTGTTAATTAATCAGCTTATTTTTTAATAGATTTTAAAGGTATCTTTTTATTTATGTTCTGATTTATTTATTTTTATAACCGTCGTTGAACAGCCGATCCAATTTTGGTTTACGACTACTAATGTTCAACTCCGCAGCCTTGTCATTTTGAACCCAATCCAGAAGACAAGGAACCTCCTGGATCAAGTATTGGGAGAAATCTACCTTCGTGCAGGACTTTTTGATTTAAACTAACCCGCATTTGCGTTATATGAAGAGAAAAAGAGTGAAAACCACCCACGGTTAGCTTGACGGCAAGGGGACTGTCCATGATCCGTCTACCACTGAGGATATCTCACGTCAGCACAGCGGCTGGTGTAAGTTGTGTGCGGAATTCGTATTGACCAGCCATCGTCGGGATCGAATCCCGGTTCACCTCATTAGAAGGCGAACGCTTTATCCCCTGAGCCATCGCGGCTCTAATAATAAAACAATGGTAATAATAATAATAAAACAAAAAACGTTTTTCAAACTAAAAAGGTAAAAAATAATTTTATTTATTTATTTTTGTTACACCGATATAGAAAAAAATGACTTAAAAAAGAGCTAACTCAAAAAAAAATTAGAATTTAAAATTATTACTTCCTTCGTGAGATAGTTTCATCTGAACGGAAATGGTTGTTGATTTGTGAAATAGTGAATATATTTCAAAAAATAAAATCACGTTTTCGGTATTTGAGTTTTAATTGTGGTGTATAAGTCGCAAGAATAAATGAATGTAGAATAATTTTACCGGTGCCGCTGCCATGGCAGGAATACCATCCTCAGTATCGAAACCTGGTGCTGCCATGGTAGGAATAGCATCCTCAGTATCGAAACCTGGTGCTGCCATGGCAGGAATACCATCCCCAGTATCGAAACCTGCTGCTGCCAATGCTTCTTCTCTTTCTTCTTCATCTTCAAGCATGTAAAATTCGTCTGAAGAGAACATCAATCCAGCTTCTCTCTTCTTTCCCTGTTTGTGAATAAAGTGTCACTACTATCTCACTATATGACTGTTTGTCAANTTCTGTATAATATTGAGTAATGATCAATATTTTTGCATGTTTCTATTGTTTTATCATCTAATTAAATAGTGCAAAAAGAATAAACCAAAAAAAGAATAGTTTAACTTAAAAAATTAGAAATTTAAAAAGACATGTTTTTCAGCTCTTTTCAAAATGTGTCGGGTAGTCCCGTTCAGTTACAAAAATTATGTTTTTTGACTGTTTTTTCAGGTGTAAATGAAAATGACCAATGTATTGATAATAGATAAACCGAATCGAAACATTCAACTAATTTCTCTTAATTTCATGACTACTGTATTCAACATACTTTCAAAACTATTGCTTACCATGTTACCAGCTGCATAAATACTTGAAACTTTGAAAATAATCTTTTTTTAATATAACAATTAATGTCAGATGGCCCATTGACTTGAAAAAATATTCTATACATATGAAATTGACAGTGGGCGGGGGTACCCGACACTCCCCTATATATATAGATAAGTATAAATCTTAGCAAAACTTTTATCAGCTCTATTGGAACAAAGATTTACTTACATTATTATTTGGTAGAAATTAAATTTAAAATCAGTTATCAAAAATTTGAAGGAATTTTTTTTTCATTTTTAATACCACAAAATAAGCAGAACTGTATATCACTGGGACAGATTTTTGCAAGAAATAAAAAAAATATATAAAAAAAAAACACATTCAAATAGTGAATTAAAGAAAGGTGACGCATGAAAAAAGAATAATGAAATAAAAAATAATTATGCTATCGGTATAATAAGCGATTTGAGCGGGTATTCGATCAGGCGGTGGAGGAATCGAGGGTGCGCGGTATCGATACTTGTTAAACACTGATCTACTTTAAAGTGCTTGAATTCGTGAGCAGGTCATTGAGCTATCTGATGCTGGGGAGCCATCACCTCTGCAGAGGATCAAAATTGTCTTCGGATTATCCTCAGAGATGTTTACCCGACAATAGCCATTTCGCAGCTTTTGTGCAAAACCGTTAATGGAGTACTACCCATGCTTAAATTAAACATATACACGGTGCGCCTTAACTAAAATTAAATAAAATGCTCTTACACCTAGAAAATTAGAAGAGATTCTGAATTTACAATGTTCTTTGCTAATAAAAATAGAAAAATTAAAATAATCTGTGGAGGGATTTTTAAAAAAATCCACTTTGAACATTTTTGCTCACGAAGTACGATATTTCAAAAATGTTAGCATCATTTTATACTCATAAATAGAAAAAAAATGACATATTTGTATTAAATATTCATAATTACAGTTTATAATAAATTTTATAATTTTTAGAAGTTTTTTAATTGTTAATTATAGTCGATGAACCACTATTTAAAAAACAAAAATAATAAGAACTTAAATCGACTTTAGCGACACAAGCACTGTGACTTTAAAAATGGCAGCTTCCATTCGTGTGTGTACACGAAGTAGAAAAGCAATTGAACCAGGATAAAAAACAAAACTTCATATCACAGCTCCTTCTATCGACGATTATTTTGATTTTAGAAATTTTTCCTTTCGTTTGTATAAAAGGCGATGAAGTCTTGGATTCTCCTGTGCTTGGAATTTACTGCAAAGATGTTCCTGCTTTTGTTCAGTATGTGAAAAATAAGCGAGATGTACTGGATGTTCACTTAAAAATGGGTATTGATGGAGGAGGTGGATTTTTAAAAATATGTCTTTCTGTACAGTCAAATGAGTTGGACTTCGAGTGCAGCGGTAAGCGAGCTAAGTATGATGAGGGGATAACTGCAAGGAAATTTAAGGATTCTGGAGTTAAACGACTATTCATTCTAGCAGCCGTTCCGAGTGCACAAGAAAATTATAAGAATGTAGATCAACTCATTTCAACGTTGAATATAAGTCCTTTCCAAGGCACAATTGCACCCGATTTGAAGGTAGCGAATATATTAGCAGGTATAATGTCGCACAGCAGCGCATACCCATGCACTTATTGTTATGCCAAGAAAGATGAGCTAAGCAGCTGTGGCGAATTGAGATCCCCGAAAATGTTTCATCGTATTATACAAGTTGGCTGACTGAAGGAAAATGTTCAAAAAACAAAGCGAAAGATTATTTCAATTGCATTCATCCACCGCTAATTGCAATTGTTGGAGGCAAAACATTCCTAGACATTACTCCACCGCCAGAATTACACCTTATGCTTGGTGTTGTTAACACTGTTTTCACGCATATGTTGAAAGAGTGTGAAAATGAATCGCTGACATGGACAAAAGCGTGTCACGCTCAGCATGAAATCAGACGAGGATGTTCTGGATTTAAAGGAAATGCATGAAAAACACTTTTGGATAAAGAAGAACTTCTGCACCAGTTTCAAAATCTAGCAATACTGAAGTAAGTTAAAGTATTTGACGACTTCAAAAAAGTGGTTTCTGCACAACTCAAAACAAGGGAACTATATTTTACGCATTATTGACTAAACAAATTTACCGTTTAAATTCCGGTTCGAATTTATTTACGCAAATTTTCTGTATTTTGGATAACCACTTTTTTGTGTGCATTATTTGAAATTTTCCAACTTACGTAACATTTTGACGTATTGTCGACGTAAATATTATGTAAAAATAACGTACTCATTCTTACCTTGTAAAAAGTGGTTGGTAAAATATTAGTAAAAGAAACGAATTTGTTTACATAAAATTTTACGTTTTTCGGATAACCATTTTCTGCCACAGTTCGATGATTCAGATTTACGTAAATTTTTACGAATGTTTAGTAAAATTTAAAGGTGAAATATACGTATTTTTGGCGTAAAATTGATCGTTCTCTGCTACCTCGGACTACAACCTACATTTTGAATTGGTCACATGAGTTATTTTTCCCATTTTAGTCGTTTACCTTTTAATCCGATGTTAAACGTCCGTTTAAATCCTTATTGACATCTGCATACGAATTGATAGAAAATGTAATAATAATTTGATTTCAAATACCTTGATGAATATTTTTCTTGATAATGCTTCCGGGGAAGGCATGTGCTCTTCATCTTCCTCAATTGGAGATTTATGCAAATATTCTGAAAATGTCAAGTTTTGGAAATAAATATCTTAAGTCAACAGTTTTTTCTCTCTCGTAACAAACTCATTTAATTGAATTGATTTTAATACCATAGTTCATAACACTGCTTAAAATATTCATTTTTTTTCACATTTGGTTAATGTTTTCTTAATTTTAATTTCAGGTTGCTAAATTTAATGAAAGAAATGATTTTATATACTCGTTCCATATATATATATATATATATATATATATAACTTATGTTGCCTACTTTTTAATAAAATTAATTTTGTAGCAGATTTTCTATGTACTTTTGAGAGTAATGGGCATTTCTACATCAATCATTCAATAAAAAAATTAAGGTCAATAATTTGGATAAGCTAAACATGTTTGAAATTTCGAAAATTTACAAATTTTTTACAATTTGTGAATTAATAGATAGAGAGTTGACCTAGAGAGCTAAATTGTGTGATATTAAGATTTTCAGAGCATTTTATGGCATGTAGCATAGCTAAACTATGAAAAAAATTATTTTTTACTTAAATGTAAATATTAAAGCTTTAAATTTTTTTAAAATAATAAAATTTAATTTCCTTTCTCTGTTTTGGAAAAGTTGACACCAAAAAAATAAATTAATAAATAAAAAAACAGCCAAACTAGTCTTTAGTTTATCATTTACATAAACCCAGTAGTAATTAAAATCGCAAAATTCGCCATTAAAAAGAAGTTTTATTAAAAAGTGGCTTCTTCATTTGAACTACTAATTTTCATAACCTATTCTGGTCAAAATTGTGATATTTGTTATTCCTTTTATTAAATAACTCATAATAAAATAATTATACCCTAGGGAACAAATTTTTTGTTGTGTTTATGCAAGTACTTGATCTTAATTAATTCCAATGTATGAATTTCATATATGTAATTTCCAGTTTTGTTTCTTTAAAGCTGAGTTCACAACTATATAAAGAATGTATTGTNTATATATATATATATATATATATATATATATATATATATATATATATATATATATATATATATATATATATATATATATATATATATATATATATATATATATATATATATATATATATATATATATATATATATATATATATATATATATATATATATATATATATATATATATATATATATATATATATATATATATATATATATATATATATATATATATATATATATATATATATATATATATATATATATATATATATATATATATATATATATATATATATATATATATATATATATATATATATATATATATATATATATATATATATATATATATATATATATATATATATATATATATATATATATATATATATATATATATATATATATATATATATATATATATATATATATATATTCAAGAAATGGATGATTTTATATATTGAAATGGAATTCTATTAATTACCTCCAAGTATATTTTCGAAATGCTGAGCCATTTTGACTTGATAGGGTAAGCTGCAGTGATTTTCTATGGAAAGGATGACTGGGTACCTACAATTGAATCATTCAAACATCAGAGAAATATTACATGAAAACAACTAATTCTAATTACCCGTTTTCATTGATTCCAAATCGAATCAAAGAAGTTTATTGTGCATAAACATGAAATTATTGTTTCACCAAGTAAATAAAAGTAGTGCCCGTTTCTAAATTTGCACGCCGTATTAGAGCGTATTTAAGCAAAATTCATTTTTAAAAAAATTTAAATCTCTAGAAATCTTTCATGTATTCAAATAGAAATTATCACATTTTTTTCAGAAGACTTTGTTTCGATTCAAAATCTTGTTGCTATTCTTTTTGGAATTTTACAATTTGAATTAACTGGTCAATCTTTTAACATAAATGACCCGCCGTTAATGAAGGCTACAAATGAGCACATGTCAGAACAAGCTGATTTTTTTTATAATTTTATTTTATAACCGACGTTGAATAGCTGACACATTTTTGGATTTATGATCAATCTAGTCTTATAATTTTGAACCAGAAGAAAAGGAAACTCCTGAATCATGAGTTTGGATAAATTAGCCTTCTCGGGGAATTCGAAACTAATCCACACATACTTTATCTGAAATGGAAAACCACAGAAACTGTCACCCATGAACCGTTGCTATTTTGAATTTAAAGGGGATTCTAATCCATGATCCGTCTAGCTGTCTATCACTAAAGATATTTTACATCAGCATTGTGGTCGGTGCGAGCCGGGTGCGGAATTCGTATCGACCAGCCATCACAGGGATTCGAGCCTCATCCGTTTCTCAAGCCATTGCAAATAACTTCATCACTAATTCACACTCCGACCTTCTTCCAACTTCCTAATGATTCGATCTCACGTAAACTCATCCAGATGTCGTCTTCTGTGTTGTCTGTTAGCCATATCATACAGTAACAAGAAATTCACTTCGTTTAAACTGGCATACCGATAAACTGGCATACTGGCATACTGGAATACCATTCACATAGATATTGTGCGGCTTTGAGGAGAACTACTCCAGACCAAAAGTCTGGGGCTGTCTGCTACTATGGTAACAAGTGAGAGCACATTTCTAATTACTGTGCAATGGAGGAATAAATGTCTTGATTGTTTTACTCACGTTGACCTTTGCCAAGATCAAGACGAAAGTATTCACCGCACACCCCTATTCGAAGTGACTATTCCTCTTAACCTTAGTACCCTCCACGACACGAGACTGATGTCTGAAGGAGTTCTCCTGAAACCCTCACAATATCTCTGTGAATGGTATTGCACGGTATGCCAGTTTAAACGAAGTGAATTTCTTGTCACTGTGTGATATGGCTAACAGACAACACAGAAGACGACATCTTCATAAGTTTACGCGAGATCGTCATTATTACATACTTTTGAATGGATCACGCCGAATAAAAAATATAACATTTACTTAACTGCAAAAATCTCGATCCTCCGTTTAGCGAAAATTTCTTTATGGAACTCATTTATCGACGTTTTTATTCCAAACCCACACCCATACGGTCACAAAATTGGGAAGAAAGTTACAGTTAATGTCTCCAGTTGCATAAAAAATGAATCTTACTGCGAAGTTTTGAAGGCATATTTCTTTATAGCTTCCAGAACATCCCTTAAAAATATTCTACTTGTTATTGTATAGCCGTGGAATATAATAGGTTCTTCGTCGGGTCCGTCCCACGTGTCCACTAAGAAAAGAAAGAAAAAAAGCATGAAGCAAAAACTAAATAAACAAAAAAAAAAAAAAAAACAGATAAGGNAAAAAAAAAAAAAAAAAAAAAAAAAAAAAAAAAAACAGATAAGGGTAGATGTTACTTACATTCTAAACATCTACAACCTCTGGTCAAGGCTTGTATGTAACCTTCTATACTGCTGTCCCCAATAAGCTGACCTCCAATCAGATATCTATAGAGAAACAAAATAAATATTCCAAGTTCTATAATAAGTTTTTTTATTTCCAAATAGCTGCGTAATCGGTCTTGCCGATGAGCAGACCTAGTGCGTTCTCCAGAGGTGGTATCCACTCTTTCAGGACCACCACAATGGGTGAGATACATGTTAATTTGGACGTCTAGTTTCTGCCACACTAGATGGCAGCACCGAGACTCTATTTGGATGCTGCACTAGGAATTTAATTTTGCCGGAAATGCCAAGAGCCAATAAGGCACTCCAGGGATCTTTTACATGCCGCATAATCATACGACATGGCCGCTGAGGATTTTCTGCATCCCGAAAATCCGGTGTCTGGGCCGGGGATCGAACCCGCAGACTTGGGCTCAGAAGGCCGACGACAAATCAACTGCGCCACCCAGCCACAGTTCTAAATAAGTGAACGGCATAAAAAAAGTATTTCTTAAGAAAGAAAAAAGTTTTTCATATTTTGTAAACCGATGTTTGTATAGTTTGTCTACTGTAAGAACTCCCCCAAACACGAAGTCTGAGGTCGTCTGCTGCTCTGGAAACAAGAATAGCGCATTCAGGGAGGATAGCTTCTCTTCACTAGCACAATAGCAGAAAAATATTCCTTTTCTCTCGCCGACCAGAGACAAAACCTGTCCTAAACAGTGACCCCACACCCCTACTTGAAATCTTTATACATAGTTACCACAGTCACCACCACCAGTTCAGACGAATGGCTAGGGGAGTTATTACTTTAGACAAACTATACTGTCAATTGATTTTCCTTTTTCAAGAAGAAGAAGATGACTTACGTGTTGTGAGAGGATGAAATGTAGTAATGCGTTAAGGGATGAGTCATATCTTGATAAATGACTCGATGTTGTTGATTAAAAACATCTTGAGCATCCGATAACATTAATCTCTGGAAGCCTGAAACAAATTTTTATGTTGTTATTCTATCTTAATATGCGAACAGTTGTTTTACCACCTCGCAATCGATTAAAACAGGGTTCCCTCTCAATTTCAGAAATTTAAAAAAAATTCCCCGACTTTTCCAGGTATGTCAGGTAAATTTTTATGAAAATCCATTCCATATTTTATCTATACCATGCAATTTTGCATCAGAAATTTTTTTATTTATTTGTAATATCAAATATTAGATTTTGTGAGCAGAAACATATTATAGAATGAGGATGGAAACATAGAAAATTTTCACTAAATAGTGGAATTTTATGAAATAATTGTAATAGATGTTAAAATTATTTAAATCTGATCTCAATAACTGATTGCTGTTATTGACAATTCTAAGACTTATTATTTTCTAGGTATGATAGGGTAAACCAACCAGTGAAGGAACATTTCATATATATTGATTAAAAATAAGAATTTGAAAGTTTTTCTTTAGATTGATTGATAACAATAGCTTACTGCCAAGCAATAGGAAGTCATCTAGCCATGTTTTGGATTACCTGGTCAAATGGACTTCTCTGGAAAAATTTTTGAATTAGTTATTATCTCTGCAACACCTTGTTTCTTCGAAAAAATTATAAGGTGAGTGTTTGTATTTATATGTTTGAAGTGGAATTAATTGCATGTAATAGTTTTATTTTTCTCACTGTGAAAAAGAGAATTCAAAATATAGTTATTGAAGTTACGTTTTTTTTTTTTTTAAGCATCATAGCATAATAAAGTACTGAGATAAGGGGGTGTTTATTCACTGGATCACCAAACGATGAAAAACCAGTGAAGGAACAAGTGTTCCCTTACTGGTTTTTTTCTAAGTTAATGAAAATAAAATAAAAACTTTAATTTTTTTGTACCTTTAGTGATGTTCCGCATCAAAAGTATGCTAAAAATACGAAAAACAACTTCTAACCGGTAAAGGGAACAGACATGTTCCTTTACTGGACATAGATTTCCCAGTGAATGAACAGTATGTGTTAATATGTTGACACTTTAATTTTCAATTCATGATTACAAAAAAAAAATTAACATTTTCCAAGTGCTTATATGTTATAATTTCAAGAATATGCTTGTTTTTAAATATTTGTATGGCTTATGAATTCATAAAGAGCATTAAAAAATAACCAAAATTAAGTGTTCCTTTACTGGATGCTCATTCACTGGTAAGAGCTGTTCCTTCACTTGGTCTTCTTACTACTTGTTATTTGAACGTCCAAAACTTTAAAACAATGTTATGTAAGTTCTCTACAATTTCTTTACATAATTTGCAATTAGTAACAAATATGTTGACACTGTCATTTAACTAAAATAACGAATTTTGAAATTAATATGATTTTTTAAAAGGCAAGCGAAGCTTAAGTGTTCCTTCACTGGTTAGTTTACACTATAGGAATTTTCCAGGTTTTTTGTAAAAAATTGCAACTTTCCCTGCTTTTTCGAGTCACAATGAAATTCCCTGACAATTCCAGGTTTTCCCTGTTCTCTCGGACCCGTTAAAAGAATCCAAGGAACATTTTTTTAGATAATTATGTTGATACCATATTCACTACAGAATCGAGATATCTCTTAATCTTAGCGTTACGAGCCAGATATCTATAATTTACACCGTTATAAGGCCTGTAAAAGTCGCTGAATTTGTCCCCGTATATCTTCTGGTTCCCCAAACTTACTTTCATATTTCACTAATCTTAGCAAGAACAGTTTGGAAGGTATTAATGACGTGTTAAAATTAAATATATATCGTTTCTACCGTTATAAATAGACTAAAGCACAAATCGGAAGTTTGCATTGATATTACCTTTCTGAATAATAAATGTATTTCGTCAGCGCTAACAATCAAGTTGAAACTGCTGCTTTTTTATTCAACAGTTAAAGCCGTACTGCTTTATGGGTGAGAAACTTGGAAACTTACTAAATTTCAAGAGAAGACAAACGGAATAGATAGCCTGGTAGGTAGGACACTCGGCCCATGTCCAAGAGTTCGTTGGTTCAATCCCCGCCGGGCGAAGACTCTCCGTGTAGTAAATGGTGCACGTTCAATCTGTCGAGTCTCAAAGTCCTCCATGTTCCCATAACAAATCAATATCTCTGGGGGTACTGATCCAAGAGTTTCCCTTGTCTTCTGGATTGGTTCAAAATTACAACGCTACGGAGTTGTTAGAACGTTAGTTGTCGTAAACCCAAAATTGGGTAGGCTGTTCAACGACGGATATAAAATCTCAAGAAAAAGCCGTAATAGCTCAAAGGCATAGAGCGTTCTCCTTTCTAAGAGGCGAACCGGTTTCAAATCCTAGCGTAAGCTGGTCGACACGAATTCCGCATGCGACTTGCACCAACCACAGTGCTGACGTTGTTGTTGTTGTTGTTCATTTACGTTGCACTAGAGCTGCACAATGGGCTATTGGCGACGGTCTGGGAAACATCCCTGAGGATGATCCAAAGACATTCCATCACAATTTTGATCCTCTGCGGAGGGGATGGCTCCCCCGCTTCGGTAGCCCGACGACCTGCGCGCGAAGTCGAGCACTTTACGGTAGAACAGTTTAACGAGGACCAATACCGCACACCCTCGGTCCCAACGCAGGCTGATCCAAGTGGGTCACCCACCCGCACACTCACCGTAGCCAGTGATGCTTGACTTCGGTGATCTGCTGGGAACCGTGTCTTAACGATCAGTCCACTGCGGGACACAGTTCTGACGTAAAATATCCTCAGTGGAAGACGGATCACAAGTTAGAGTGCCCTTGAAGTCAGGCTTACCGTGGGAGGTTTTCGAGGTTTTCCTCACCATGTAACACGCATGTGGGTTAGTTTCATCAAAAAGTCCTCTACGAGGGCAAATTTCTCCCAATACCTGATCCAGGAGTTCCCTTGTCTTCTGGATGGGATTCAAAGTTACAAGGCTACGGAATTGAGCATTGGAAGTCGTAAACTCAAAATTGGGTAAACTGTTCAACGATGGTTATAATATAAATCCCAAGAAAACTCCTTGAACGGTTTTCAAACTAAAGCTTTACCCAGGATTTTCAAAATCTTTTGGCCCTACATAATTTCAAATGAGCAACCGTATAGTTTGTCTTCGGTAAGAACTCCTCCCACCACAAAGTCTGATTCCGTCTGCTGCTATGGAAACAAGAATAGCGCATTTCAGAGAGGGTAGCTTCTCTTCACTCTAGGGCTAACGCAATAGACCGAAGAAATTTTATTCCCTTTCTCTCTTCGATCCGAGCCAAAACATGTCCTAAACAACGACCTAACACCCCTATAGTTCGTCTAAAGAAAGAACTCCCCTAGTCATTCGTTTGGAATCGTGGTGGTGACTATGGTAACGAGGTATAACAATTTCAAGTAGAGGTGTGGGGTCAATGTTTAGGTCAGGTTTCGGGTCGGTGAGAAAACTTCGGTCTATTGTGTTAGCCCTAGAGTGAAGAAAAGCTGCCCTTCCTGAAATGCGCTATTCTTGTTCCCATAACAGCAGACGGCCTCAGACTTAGTGGCGGGGGGAGTTCTTACCGTAGACAAACTATACTTGAAATACATCGTTACCTTATTCACCACCTTGGGTCCAGACGAATGGCTAGGGGAGTCCTTACTCTAGACAAACTGTAACGAGGGGCCAAAACGAGACTAAGGAAATCGAAGATGGGACGTGGATGGGACATATTCCACTTCCTAGTGTCACTGGGACATATGAGGGATGAAGGAAACTAATTAGGCAAAGTGGGTGAAAAATTACCCTCGGCTAGAGTGTTTGCAAGCGATGGAGGACGCCATACTATGGGATAATCTTTTCATTGCAAAATTCTCCTGCACCTCCGTAAGTAATTTAAAATCCAAAGTATAGAAAAAGAGAGTGCAAGCAAACCTAAAGTAAGTCATGATGTTTCAAATACTGAAAAGATATTTTCAAAATATCAAAATGAAAATAAATTATGAGACATACTAGGATTAGGATTACGACATTCTAGGATTAGATAACTTAGGATTACGCAATGGAGAAGTTCGCTTCCAATAATTTGTTTACATTTTGATATTATGAAGAAGAAAAAAAATCGGCAAATTAAACTACATGGCTTACTGTAGATTTGTTTGAACTCACATTTTCTATATTTTAAATTAGTTATGAAAGTGAAAGAGCATTTGCGATGAGAGGTTTCTCCCGTGGTATGGAGTCCTCTTAATTGCGCCAGACTGGCGTAAAAAGAATCTTAATGACTATAAATGATCAACAACGTTGATATTTTGTTTCGTTAGTATTTAGTATCGTTACTTTCTGACCTTCCAGTGACATATCTGTATAAAGTATCGACATACTTTCCTTATTAATAGTTTTCTTATGCCAAGTATCGATACTATTATGCCTAGTTTCTAAGGATGTTTCGCAGGATTTTATATGTGAAGTGGTAGCATTTCATTCTTAGATTTATAAGTTTAATTTCAAATTATTTTGACGCAAATAAATTTAATGTATTGATAATCATGCAATTAAGCCCCTGCAAAATAAAATAGTTTTGACTAAATTCAATTTAACCTGAGTAAATAAGCCTCAAAAAAACATACTGGTATATAAGTAGCCTAAAGTGATTGCAATAAAAATGAGTAAAAATACTTATTTGCTTAAAAAAATGAGTAAAAATACTTAGTTGCTTAAAAAAATGACTAAAAATACTTAGTTGCTTAAAAAGATAAGCAAAAATACTTAGGTGTAGAATAACGGTTACGGAAACTGCGTGTTCATTATTATAAATACTTTAAAGTCCAACTTTAATAAATATCTATTTTTTTTTAAATTGAAGTTTTCTACCACCAAAAATAAAACAAAATATTCATTAAAATAATTTTTACAGTAATCGTTACTTTTAAAACTCTTTTTCTCTACATGTATTTATTTTATGAGATACTTAAATATAAATTTAATTTTTTAAACGTACCTTCCAAAGAAAGGTATCCAGGGATTTTATTTTCATCAGGTTCATATTCAGATATTAGATCCTCGCATTCTTCAACATTTAAACGCATCTATACAAAAAAAAAATTTTTTTTTAACTTGTGTATTTACAAGAATAACATAGTTCTACAGATATAAATACTTATATCAGTATCTATTCATAGAAAACAGAGAGTGTCCACTACAGATGGACACGTTCATTATAAGAACTCCGCCCTTTTTTGCTTGCTAATGGGTTTACAAACTAAACAAATATTCAACAGCTCCTTTATTTCAGTTATTATGAACAAAAATGTAAAAATTGTTACGCATAGATAAAATAAGAAACATTAAAATCTAGGAGATGATCTAAAAACAAAACATCTCCAGTATATTTCCAAATTAAAATTTAAAAAAATGGAAAGTTATCTATAGATGGTTGACTGAATGTAAACAGATACAAGCTTCCTAAAACCAGAAGAAATTTAGAAAACTTACGGTGTATCCCTCCGCTCATGTTACGATGTGTGAACAGGCTTAACATTCTAGGAAGTTTTATTTTTGTGGATTTGTGCTTAATTTTACGCGTAGTTTTACCATTCATAAGAGATTTTTGTAATTTATAAATTCTAACGCGTCGTGAACCTAAAACAAAGTTAACAATTTTAATATCACAGCCATAAATAAAGTGAAAGGTTTGCCATGTTTTGAATGCTATCCCTTATTCGGCGCTATATTTGTGTTAAATAGCACCGTTTGTTATATTTTGGGTATCATCATGGCAAGCTTGGGGAGTCTTTCGAATTCATTTGTTGTTTGTTTTGTTGACAGTTGGATTGAAAGAATGCGTTATATTGAAAACATTACAGTTATAATAATACTGAATGGCGCGTTTTTCCCCCTCCAAATTTGGGCATAAAAGTTAGTCGAAAGTATTAAACCGGAAGTCTTACGGCTAATTTTGACCCCCAGCGCCATCTACGTTTACCTTTACTGAGTCAAGCATCTATAGGTAGTATTTACTATATATGTGGTTCTCATAGCGATTATTCTCGGTGCCTATATCATGAGTCTTTCCGGGAGTCTGGCACCTCCACTTACCAATTAGGCAACTGTTTTTTATCTAATAAACCTCACTGAGAGGTTCACCTCAATATAGTTTGTCTACGGTAAGAACTCCATCAGCCGCACAGTCTGAGGCTGTCAGCTGCTATGGAAACAAGAATAGTGCATTTCAGGGAGGGTATAGTTTATCTAAAATAAGAACTCCTCCAGACATTCGTCTGAACCTGTGGCGGTGACTATGGTAACGAGGTATGACTATTTCGAAAAGGGGTGCGGGGTTTTGGAGTGGTTTTGGGTCGGGTCGGCGAGAGAAAGGGAATCTCTTCGGTCTATTGTGTTAGATCTAGAGTGGAGCTACCCTCCTTAAAATGCGCCTTTCTTGTTTCCATAGCACCACACGGCCTCAGACTTTGTGGGGGGAGGAGTTCTTAGCTTAGACAGACTATAGCTTCTCTTCACTCTAGGTTTAACACAATAGACCAAAGAAAAAGATTTTTCTCGCCGACCAGATCCAAAACCTGTCCTAAACAGTGACTCCACACCCCTACTTGAAATAGTTATACCTCGTTACCATAGTCACCGACACGGGTCCAGACGAATGGCTAGGGGAGTTCTTACTTCAAACAAACTTTGCAGCACTATTTATTTACACTAATCGCACAAATTGTAAACAAATCTTCGTGCTCATAGATATTTTTAAAAGTTCCTTTTAGAGTTAGGTAAAGATTTTATTTGCGTTTGAGAAGGGAAAAATTCAAATAACGAGAAAATAATACTTCGTTCTCCACTCGGGAAAGAAAAGGTAGAAAAATATGTCGAAATGTATAACGAAATGACGCATGCAATTATTTCAGTTAATTATACAAATATTTCGGTTTAAAAAAATTAACTATTCCTGTAAATTAAATAAAAAGTTGAAGTAATGAGATATTTATATCTACTTAGAATAATAAATTTCTTTCCAATACCTTAATTAATAAGCTGAGTTGAAAAATTACCTTCTACAACATTTTCAATAATTATTTCAGTTAATTACACAAATATTTCGGTTAAAAAAATTAACTATTCCAGTAAATTAAATAAAAAATTGGAGCAATGAGATATTTATATCTTCCTAGAATAATCAATTTCTTTCGAATACCTTAATTAATAAGCTGAGTTGAAAAATTACCTCCTACAACATTTTCAACAATTATTTCAGTTATTTACACAAATATTTCGGTTAAAAAAGTTAACTATTCCAGTAAATTAAATAAAAACGTGGAGTAATAAGATATTTATATCTTCTCAGAATAATCAATTTCTTTCGAATACCTTAATTAATAAGCTGAGTTAAAAATTTACCTCCTACAACATTTTCAAGTTTTCATATTTTTAGCTTCCCTTTTTTTTTCTTTTTTTTAAAAGCATAACTTATTTTTTTAATTAGTTAAAAATAATTCTTTTTATTCCCCCCATTTTTAACAGGTTTTTTGAATTACTTTTACTTTAGAAAAAATAAGTATCTCCTTTCAAAATGCTTAACAATATTAACTTATTACATACATTTTATACTGACCAACGTTTGATTGAAAATATTTTCTTCATAAGAAGTCTTTAGAAACATGAGTAAAATTTTCAGTCAAATTGTTCAAATATTTTTCGGAAAAGGTGCGTACTATAATGAAAATAAGGGGTAAAAAGATTTTTAAATAAAGCCATGACATAAAGAAACAAATCTATGACATATTCGCTTCTATTTTCTTTTAGTTAATTTTTTATGAAGATTTTTTTTATAACATAAATCATGTTTATTAAAACTTAAAACTGTGGGTGATAAATATTTATTTTAATGTTTCCTTAATTTGTCTTGGAAAATTCCGATATTTTCCTATGCTCTTGCTGCTATTACTGTTATATTATATTACATTATATTATATTACATTATANTTATATTATATTATATTATATTATATTATATTATAACATTTCATTTATATATTATTATATTATAACAGTCGTTGAACAGCCGGCCCAGTTTAGAGTTTACGGCTCACAATGTTCAACTCCGTAGCTTTTTAATTTTGAACCCAATCCAGAAGACAAGGGAACTCCTGGATCGGTACCCCCAGAGGTATGATTTGCTATGGGAATATGGAGGACTTCGTGACTCGACAGATTTAACATGCACCAGTTAACATCGAACATTTCTCCAGCTACCTGGATTTGAACTCCCGCTCTTACGAACACGAGTCCAACGCACTACCTATCACGCCCCATTACTGTTATTTTTGCATATCCGAAATTATTAATCTGCTCTTTTTTTGCTTCGTTATTAATTTTGTCGTTTCTTTTGCCATTTACTTATTCTTTCATGCTATACTTCATTAATTTCATAGCTTATAATATATGTTTATTCACAATTTTATAGCAACTTTAGCTATTTCTATTCTCGTCTTCAACAATTATTTTTTTATTTATTTTACCATTAACTTTTTTCAAATTCAATTTATTTACACTACTAAGAAAGTGGTGGAAAAGATAATATGAAAATTATTAAATTTATTGTGACTCTAAAATGATGAGGATTTTTTTTTTCTTAGTACAAAAACACATTTAGTAACTTAAGGCAACTTAATTTTACACGATTAATCTATTTTGATAAGAACGATCCAGAGAAAAACAGGATAAACAAAAAGGAGGTGTGTGTATTAATTTATGTTCTGCTTCAAAAATGAGACATTAAAAACTTCTCGAAATTTTTTTCTTCAAGTATTCATTAGTTTTTAAGATTTCAAAAGAATTTTTAAGTTGCTGAAATTATATAATAGTCTCATTTGTTACAGCTTTTTGTTGTTGTTGCTGTTTGTAATTTGTTTTAAAAGTTCAAACATTTATTATTAGATTGTTATACATTTCGTTGGTCCGAAAGCTGTTTGACCTATTTTTTATTTATTTGTATTACTTTCTGAATTATAATAATAATTTCTTATTTCGTAATAAAAATCTTACTTTTGCTGTGATAACTGATCGTAACAGTTTTATTATATGTATATATAACAGCAAATTTTCTTATACAATATCACTAAGGCCCGGATTTTGATGACATTTGCATTTTTTTTGCATTTTTTGCATTTTTGGACATTTTTTGTCATTTAGAGCATTTTTTTAGATTTATTGGTCATTTTTCTTTAAATTTTGGGGCGTATTTTGCATTTTAAAGAATTTTTTAAAGTTTTTTGTTAATTTTTTCCAATTTTTATTATTTTTTTATCAATTTTCATTATTACACTGGCTTCCAAACAATGAAGAAAATCAATAGAATATTAACAGGTGAAGCAACATCTTTTCAAATTGAAGAAGAATTGTCAGTAAGTGAGACCGTCTTTTTCAAGTACGCACCTATAACATCAGTAGGCGTTGAAGGAAGCTTCTGCAGGAATGAAAATTTACTTTCAGACAAGAGACGCTCGTTTACATTTCAAATTACCAAAAAAACATTTAATAATCCAATGTAATTCTGATGTTTAGTAATATTATGAGATGGAAGTTTTTATATCCATTAAAGTTTCTATACAAAATAAAAATATTTTGGTGTCAATATATTTTCCTTTTTTTGTTATTTTAGGATATAAAACATATTTTTCAAACTTTAATGAACGTAGAACAAGTATTGCATTGCTTTATATTTTTAAATGTCTCATAATAATTTTAAAGAGCAAAACATTTTTTTAATTCAATATTTTTACTTCATTTAAGGCATTTTTTGCGCAATTTTTGCATTTTTAAGGGCATTTTTTGCCCTTTTTAAGGGCATTTTTTGCACTATTTAAGGGCATTAGTTGAGACTTTTTAGGTCATCAAAATCCGGGCTCTAATTATCACTAATAAACAAAAACCTTAAATGCTAATTACTAAAAAGAACAATCTTTGAGCAATATTACAATAATGGAAAGATTACACTTGCTGATAAATATTTAAAATTAAGGCATTATAATTAAAACACATACGTATTTTGAATAATGACATTAAAAATACATTAGGAAATTGGAAGAACTTTTAAGCATTAATGACTTTTATTTTTGAAGTTCAAGATTTTATTTCCTTTGACCTTGTAAATTTTTTTTTCTTCTTTTCAGTTTCAAGTTACCAGACGATATCGATTTCAATGGCTAATAAAAGTTCTTAAACGTCTAAACGGGAAACATAAAGCCTAATGCTTCCTTATTCACAGCATGATAAATTCTTCTAGCATATTTTACAATTCATTTGATGTCACTTTCATATTTTCTGAAGTAAAACATGGAAAACGACGGGTTTTTTTTTTTTTTTTTTTTTTTTTTTTTTTTTTTTTTNTTTTTTTTTTTTTTTTTGTATTTTATAATAATTCTTCCCAGTCACTATCACGAAAGCTGATATTCGACTGTTACATTTTTAGAATCAGATGAGAAGAAAATTGCCTCAAAATAAAAAAATGCTGATAAACAATGAATGTTTTGAAATAAATTTCAAAAAAGCTACACGCGAAACAATTTATTTTTAAAGCGAGAAGTTGATGCTGCTCCGCCGTGACGTCACAGACTGAAATCAGAAGCTCGGATCAAGGGAGTGACCTAGCCCTTCTATTCACTCTTTAGCCCTGCTTCAAATACTTGAAAGAACTTTTCAAAATATCAAAATGAAAATAAATTGTGAAAAGGTTACTTAGGATTACGCAACGAAAAAGTTCTTTTTTTCCAATAATTTGTTTGTATCTTGATGTTTTCCAAAAAATTTTCAGCAATTAAAACTTTATGGCTTACTCTAGGTTTACTTGCGCTCATTTTTACTAAATTTTTTAATTAGTTATGGAGGTAAAATAGAATTTACATTTAAATGTTTCTCCCACGGTATGGCTCCTCTTAAAGCTTACACACACACACAAAAAAAAAGTTATTGTCCATCCCAGCTTTCAAAAATCAAAACATTTCGTAAAACGAAAAGAAAAGAAAATGTAAAAAAACCACTTGGTTTTACAAAGGTTATTATGAAAATGTCGAAAAAGCATTGCATTTCAATAGAAGGGCACGTCTTATTCTAAATCGCGACATTCACTAGACCAGGGATGGCGAACCAATGGCACGCGACACACTATTCAGGGCACGCCACTGATCACAAAGTTCACTACGAAGCATAATAACAATTAAATTAAAATTCACAAAAACAAACAAAAAAATTAAAAATTATTAACAAAAAATTTATAATTAATGTCAAAAAAAAAATTAGTAACCATAAAAAACAAGCTAACAATAAATAACCAGCAAAAAGAGATTTAACAGTCCTGCTTAAACTAACATCTTACAACCTAATATAAGTTATTTGTCATCTAATCTGCAACAACAGAATTCACACTGATGTTACTTTAAGTTGAATTACGCTTATAACCGAGACACTGCAAAATGTATTTTTTCTTTATAGTAAATAAAGAGTTTTGATAGTATTTAGTATTATTATTTTCCCAATAATCACGAAGTCAAAATTATTTGACGGCACGTCTATGACCTCATTAAACAATTTTTTGAAAAAAATGGCACGTTGGTGCATAAAGGTTCGCCACCCCTGCACTAGACCCTATTTTGAAACCTTCTGATATTTTCATGAGGCAGTTGAGATTCAGTGAAAGTACATTCAATAAGCACACTATTTATGCATTAATAAGATTCTCTTCATGAAATTTCGATTAATTTTGAAATTAATTTAAATAGTGATGAAGTCATTAATTCTGCTGGAGATATATTTTATGTTTTAAATCACCAAAATTACTTAAATCACCAAAATCTTTTAAAAATTGTAAGCAAAAAAGCCTCTGAATAAGATGATTCACTGAATAAAGTGGTTCACTTCATACATGTTTAAATTAATTAATAACACGGACTTATTGATTCAGACATAAAAACGAAATTTCGATGCTTAAATTAATTAACAACGTGGACTCATTGATTCAGACATAAAAACGAAATCTCGCTACATTCCGTCTTAGCAATTCTAATAACCTCATTTGATTAAAATGCAACATTTGGCCAACTATAAATGTGCATTGAATGTGTAATATTCACCTTTTAAAAAATAACTACCATTTTGTGAGTTCTTACATTTTGTTCCATCAGCAAGAAAACAAGTAATTCTTCTGGTCCCCATAGAGTCGAATTATTTAATGAATATCTGAAAATAAAATTTAATTATTTCTATAATGCATCGATTTAAAATACACAGATTTAATTACCATTTAAATAATATAATAATAAAGGTTAATAACATTAGATTAATTCCTCACGTTGAATTATTGATCGGTGTAATTTTGGAATTATGTACTGTATTAATTTTTATTTATTTATTTTTTCGAATTTATTTCCTTTAACAAAAAATGAGATATTAAGTAAATTAAGTAAAACTTTTTTGAGGCGATGTGTTATTTTTTTTTAACCTACTCCTCGAGTT